CCACTGATGAATTAAAGAAAACTGGGCCACTGAATTGAAATCAGTGAAATTTTCACTGATTCAGATTGAAAGTGTGTATAAATAAGTACTAGAAAACAGAAATATATCATTTTTTGACAAGATAAAAATTACATTGTTAAATTAACTTCACTCATATAAAATGAAAGGAAATTGAAAAAGTGTGAAGTGAATTCTACACGGAGAAAAATTTTCAGTTAAAATTACTATTAAAAATAGAAGCTGAAACTATTTCACATAGTATTTTCGTGACACATCGAGTTAATCGTAAAGTGTAATATTTTATTGAGTATTTTGTACTATGGTATCAAAGTATTTGATATTATTAATTATATTAGTTCCAACTATGTAAATATTTTTTGGAACTTGGTTAAATAGTAAAGGTAACTTTTCTGCCTAGAAAATATAACAATTCCAAATACTTGAACCTACTATGAGAGAAAGGCTAGCGCGCTATGCATCATGGTAAACTCCACTATGAGAGAAAGACTAGCGCGCTATGCCTCATGGTAATCTCCACTATTTTAAATGAATGACTGCGCGATGAACCACATGGTAAACTCCACTATTTTAATAGTGCACGACGCTAGTGCTAAATGACTTTGAACATAATGTAAAATTGTCTTCAGACAATTCAGTCGAATTTCACTGAAAATACGTTAAAAATAACTGAAATTTCAGTCATTTTCTACTGATTCGACAATTAAAAAACTACTGAAAATTTATGTCACACATATTGAAAATTTCAGATATTTTTTAATTGGCCAATCAGTGAAAAATGACTGAAATTTCAATCATTTTTAACTGATCTTCAGTGAAATTTCACTGATTCAAATCGCGAGAATAGAGTCACTGATTCTCAGTCAAATTTCACTAATTCATGGAAATTTTAACTATTTTAAATAAGGATTGTAATTTTGTGGAATAACTGAAATTGCTAGAAACAAAAGTTTTAATAAATTAAAAGTAAAATTTTTAATTTAAATCATCAATAATAATTTTTATTAATCTAAAATAAATATATACACAGCAAAAGTTTAAAATAATGAATACACTTAATTATAATGGTTTTAATTTGTAGTCTTGCGCTTATAATTACACAATTTCAAATTGCTCATTTTTTTACGAAAAAACTGACGTCATCTTAAAAATTAAATTCACTTTTTAGCAATGTATTCAATGTTTTCAAATGACTAACTGTACCATTTATAAACTTTTTCCAAACTAAACTGCTGCACCTTGGTTAGTTTTTCGCTTTTCGTTTGTTGATCCGTACTTCATCTGTGTTGGTGTGATCATGGTAGACAAAAGGTGTAAAAGCACTGCATCTTGAGCGTCTGTAAAATTAAATAAAGTCAGCATTTATTAAATAAAATATATATAGAATATTCAAATATCCTGTATACAGACATACTAATAGTTCCAAGTTACATGTTCAGAAAGCAGTGTTAATTTGTGTAACTTTAATTAATTAATTAAATATTAACTAATTTAATAGTACTATAATTTTTAAATATTTACCTTAAATTCGATAGCGCCTTTAGTATTTCAGGACATTTTTGGCGTCATGACGCCAACATTCAACACTATACTATATATATGTTCATGTATAAATCAAAAAGTACTTAAAATAACGATTTTTTCGCGAAAAGTTTAATCACTCAAACAAACATTTATTTCACTTTTTAATTTTTTATGCATGTTTTATTAAATTTAAATAATAAAAATTTTAATTTAAAATAATTTTACGAATAACGTCTTTAAGTTTAGAGTTTTCAGAGACGACTGAATGTATACAGTACACGTTGGTATACAGAAAGTCTATTTTTAGAACTAAAAACGATGCTGATGGCCATTTCTATTACAAAAAAAATGTACTGTGTTGTGAACACATGTAATTTCACAGTGTAAAATGGTAATGTCCACCATGTAAAAAAAGAATTTCAGTTATTCATTGAATCAGTGCGTTAACTTGGTTTAGTAGGTCTTAGACCCATGCGCTATGAGTGGACCGTACTATTTCACATAGTAAAAGATCTTTTACTATGTGAAATAGTACGGTCCACTCATAGCGCAAGGGTCTTGCAGCTATTATATTCAGACGTTAAGAAGCAATTTTTCTCCTTGATTTCTTTACTATGTGAAATAGTATAAACTCCTACAACAAGTAGAACTTACTGCTATTATAAATACACATTTTTAGTTATTTCTAATGGCATAAAATAATATGCATTAATGTTATAAAACACTTTTTAATGGAGAGTTTTCGTTATGTAAGATACTATTTTGACTGACTAGCATCATAATTGCCGTATTGTAAATAATATTTTCTCCTTTTCTTAAATTGTATTTGATGTATTTAAAATAATATTCCATACTTTGTATACTTTAGTAAAAGATACTTTAAAGCATTAACTGAAATAACTACACACTTTGCAAAACATCTAACGCGTCATAGTTAAAAAAACTATGTAAAATAATTCAAGATACCATTTTTAAAAAATGGTAATTTCTACTATGTACAAATAGCACTATTAATCATGAAATAGTACTTAATATTAGAACTGGTAGTTTTTTTAATTATATCTCATAACGATTCGATATTTTACTATGTGAAATAGCGTTTTTAACTTGGTTTTCAAAAACCATTTCTCTGCGTGTATAGTAAAACTTTTTGATAGGGACAGCCTGTGAACCATAACCCAAGTAGCACGTACAGTCACACTTTTCCGTGTATATCCTCAAGGGAAGCTTGCAGCAAGATAATGTGCTACGTGGATAGAAATTTATGGGAATTTATGGGTAATAAGACTTGAGAATTCTGGTTAACATACAAAGTACAAATTTTTGGTAAGATCAGTGAAAATTCACTATTTTGAAAAATAGCCTAAAATTTTTTTAGTAGAAAAATTCTGGCGCATATTTAACAAGAAATTTTGGTTGAATAATTAATTAAATAATAGTTTGAATGTGTTTCTTTACGTACAATTGTATCGAGTAGCATCGAAATTTTTTTTAATTCTTTTGAATCTTGCAACACTATGAGGTAAGTATGTACTTCTAAAATTCAGTACATATATGTTTTCTAAATCTGGGTTTTCGGTGTCGCTGATTACAAAATCTCTAAGTAATAATTGTCATGACAATCCAAGAGATTACATACATGAAAACAATACGTGTAGTTTTTACATGCAAAAAATTATTTCCAAGTATTTTAAGTGGACAATTAATATCTATTTTTTTGTTTTTGGGTGTTAAAGAGCCCTGTTTATGTTTTCATTTTGTCAGATGTAGATTTGTTTAATGTGTTGCTTTATTGTTTTACAGGCGTTCGAAAACTAGAACCAATCCAATATTTTCAAGGTCACCCAAGTAGCACGTACATATAATATTACTGTAATATTAAAATGTCCGCCTGTTGGCGATGTTACCGGAAATATTGACGTAATATTACAGTAATGTCACTGTAACATTGCTGGTAATTATATATTACCTTGGGGCGGACCCCAATTATTATTTAAAATGAATGCATTTTTGAAACGTATTTTGTGCTTTTTCAAACTGTATTGTTTTCAAGTTGAAAAAATTGAAAATATATTGATTAATTTTTAATACTATGTACGCAGATAACCAGCTTATAGTAAAGGCATTGTACTAATTATGTCCATACCTTCAGATTGTACCAGGTACTATACAGTATTTTGTATAGGCAATGACCGAAGACAAATTGGGTCAGCCCAACCAACAGTTTATGCGGTGTATATATATATATATATAATATAAAAGTACCGATATTGTACTATTATTATACTCTTTATAAATAATCCACGTATTTTATTATTCCTACATTATGTCATGTATTTGTTTTTATTTCGAACTCTAGTAATTGAGTATATTATATTTAAGGTGCTTTATCATTTATTTACGCGTATATAAATACTTGTGTTCTTTTTGGGATTTTTTAAATGAAATTAAATAAGTTACAAATTATTTATACATTTGTATATTATATAGTTTTATAATTTAAATTTTGTTGTTCTAAAAGTTCTTTTGTTGTAGTCACATCCTAACGGTACCAAGAACTCGACAAGAACTTAACACGGCAAAAGCAGGGATATGACGTAAGTAGGTTGTGGTTGTATGTATTTACGGAGCAGAGACCGTGTAGTGAACTTGGTTTGTTCCCTTGTATAACGCTTGAAAACGGCAGACTTGTCCAAAGTTATGTTTGCTATATAATATTATAATGCATACAAATTTATTGGATGCATGTTATTTTTTTATAAATATTTAATTCCGATTTTTTATGCATATTAGATTTTAATTGCAACATGCATCTTAAATAATCCTATAATTATAAAATGTTGTCCTCTATGATTATTATTTATTTAATCTACATCTACATTAATCTACATTATATTCTTATTAATTTATAAAAAGAAAGAGGAAGAACTTGTAGATTTAGCTATATTTATTGATTTGCATCTTTCATAATTTTCCATATGCGAGTTACGCTGACACGGAGACTTCAATGAACGGACAGAAACTATCACCTTGTATTATTTTCTCTCTGTATAGTTGAAGCGAAAACTTGAAAATAAATTTAATGTGTAATTTTCTCATGCTTCATTTGTGAAATACATGAACAATTTTACGTTCTCGAATAGGATATTTAATTAATTAAAGTTGATTATTATTATCATTATTATGATTATTATTACTATTGGGACTGTGGTGCGTTTAACATTTATCTTTATAAAAATTGTAGATATATAAGATGTGAAGAAGAAAGAAAGACACTTAAAAAGGAAAAAGGAATTAGTATGAGTGAAATAGTGTTAGTGGGGGAGGGGAGTATTTCATGTGATGAGGAAAGACCTGTGATCGGGTCGAGGGGCGAGAGACGTGAAAGTACCGCTACGGAGTAGCCCGAGGCAAAATACATGCCGTAGCGCTAAACTACCGCTGTCGGTTGTCGATATAATTTTAACTTGTTTGAAAAGCGTACTCTGGGTAGACTGTAGGTAATAGCTGTTGCTGCTGCTGCTGCTCTCTATATACTATACCATTGCAACGCTACTATAGTGCTGGAGAACACTCGCGCGCGCTCCCTAGAAAGATCGGTTGTCTTCAACCAGCTGCGAGGTTTCTTCAAATTTTATCATCAAACCAATTGACTAATTTTATGTGCGTGAGTGACTATTGGTTTTGTTTCGGATTTACCATTTTGTTAAAATCCATCATGTGTTTTCAAGAAGCTTAGAGTTTTATTCAAATGCCGCAATATTGTTGTGAACGCAAGCCTACACCTAACCTGAAATTATTGAAGAATACATCCCTACTCTCAACTATATAAACTTTTTAAAACTCTTTCAACTTTTTTCATTCCTTGATAGGTGCATTGAGTTCCAAACTTTTCGCTCAAGCACAATTAAACTTTTTCATGAATGTTTTAAAGGATTATGGTTGTATTGTGCGCGACATTTTGTTCAAATTACTGGATTTTTATTATGCAAAAAATTATTAACAATTCGTTTTTAACCTTATTTATGTAAAAAAGTATCAGTATATTGTCTGCTATATATTCTGTATATTTTTTATACAAATTAAAATGTGTGTATATAGAAATATAAATAAATAAATATATATACATATTTATATATGTTGCGTGGGTGTGCGCGCCGTATGTGTGTGCGCCACAAATATAATACAAAATGAACATTCATTTTCTATGCTAAAATTCACTGCTCGTTTTTTAATTAAAGAATTGCAAAAAACAATATATATATATATATTAATAATAAAGTGCAAGTGAGAGTGGTGTAATTGTGGCACGCGCAATGACCGACAAAAGGTGACAAAGTGGAGTATCTGAACATCTGTTAGCATCGAGGGACGCGAGTGAAAGCAAGCCGTCTTCATCATCTTATTGCTATTATCATTGACAGCATTATCATTACCCTCACAATCAGTATTGAAATAAAAGATTTATTTCAGGACCTAACATATGAACTAAATATACTAGTGTCGTGTCATTCATAGTAGACACTAATTATAATCTCACCATTGACTTTACTCTTCGTTGTGCTTTCGAGATTAAGTGTTTACATATTTAAATGCACTTTATGCATCAACTATTTGCAACCAGAAAATGCTCCGTATAAAATCTAATTGCTCTTTTTTTTAAAAGTTACCCATGTTAAAACAACGATTCAAGAGGAGTTTATGATGTCTCTCAGTTATGTATAGGTTCGTATATACATTTAACTTCATAGAAATTGTAAATGAAGAAAATTAGTATACCTACATACCTGTTTGCAACTTGCCTATCGTATTTTCGTATTTTTACTATTATGAAAAATATCCTTAGCTCTATCAATGATCTAATTATTTCAGTGAAATAAAAACGCTTTTACTGTCAGAGCAATACATATAGAAAACAGATGGTTGAGCTCGCTGAGCCTAAATGCGTTTTGACTCTTTCCAATACACGGAGAAGAAAAGATACCCAATTTTTAGATGCCTTAGTTACTTAATTACTATTATACAATTTTAAGTTTTTAAGTAAAAATTGATGAATATTATTTAATCTAACTAAAGTCCTGACAGAAAATTTTTGGTATATTGCTTTAAATTTCTCAGAAGATAATAATCGAATAAATTTGAAAAGAAAATCCCAAGATTTATTCATTTTACTGAGACCACCCGTTTTCTGCCCTACGGGTGGTTCAAAACCTTGCATTTAACACGTTCTCAGAAAACAAAACAAGAACAATTAATTTGTTCAGAACATTTTTTTTCACAATTATTCTAATTTTCTCATATTTAATGAAAAAATTGAGGTTTATTTACATTTTTTCGTTTATTTATAACTGCTTTAAATGACGTGACATTAGTAAACAAACCTTTTTCAATAATTTTTTCAAAATCTAACAACGTAAAATGATACCTGAATTCTTAAAATTCTTTTTGACGATTTTATTACTTAACCAACAATACTTACACAGAGACAATATCAAATTTAGTACCCAACCATAATAAAACGTTCATTTTTTTCTACTATTTGTTTAGCATAAACAAAAGAAAAAAAGCTACTTGTTTAGTAAATTCGATTGTACAGTCAATATGTCGAAAATTAACTAAACTGTTTAGTTATCAGAAATGAACAGACAAACGCCATTACTATAGCCAGTTTTCTCTGTGTATGACGCACGTATGAGTAAACCTTTAAAAAATAAGTGATTAAAAACATTTTATTAACCATTTTCAACCAAATCCGACCAATTTTGAAAAATTTTCCGTCATTTTGAATTTTTAAAAAAATGACAAATGTTTAATTGTTTTAGTTAAGACTTTCGCTATGTTAGAGAAACTTATCGCTGTTTCAGATAAAATTTTTTTCCGTGCGGAGTTAAACACCGGCATGGTACTGACCATCGGAACTGACTTTCAAAACCCGATCAGTAGGTACTGGGAGTATAACGACTCCAAAACCGAATCAGTACTATATCGGAGTTAAAAAAGTATTAAAATTAGTACTGGCAGAAAAGTAGCGTAAACACAAATAAGTACTTCGAAGGAGTTAAAAAAACAAAATCTGTTATTATGGTATTATAAACATTATTAAACCGGCCACTATTAATAACAACAACAACTTTTGATTTATTAACTGTTAAAATATATTTTCAAGATTTTGAAACATTCGTCAATAATAACATCAAACATTTAATTAATTTATTATTAATTAATATGTATATCATAATAATACAATAATAAATTATTATTAACTAATTATTTAAAAATTTTTATTATTATATATTTTTAATTTATAATAAATTTTTTTTTGTTAAATGTATATACAATTACTTATTTAAATGCATATAAATATATAAAATTTATTATTATAGCACTGTATATAACGGTCCCATAATTCAAAAGGAAGTTGACGTGATGTCAGTTCCAAACTTGTGTGGCTATGTGGTATGCGTATTTGACTTACGTCCTCGAGGTCTGGGGTTCGATGCCCCGTGCGTGCGAGATTTTTCACTTTTAAATGTTCTATGTACTATTGTTAACGGTGTTAGATGAATTATAAGTTTAAATTTTAATTTACTCATTTATTTTAAATAAATAAGATAGTTTGTTTAACTTAATGAAAGAAAAGAAGAAAAATATTTTTTAAAAAACTTATTTCAATATAATAGCAAATCAAATAATTATTTACATTTTTATTGAAACTAATAAAAGTTTATTTCCTACAGAAATATTAATAATAATGATTAATTTTTAAGGACAACATGTTTCGACAGAATATATATTGTCCTCTTCAGGTCCAATTTTAATTTTAACTTTGACAATGATAATAAAAACGACAACATTTTCCTGCAATGAAGATGATATTTTAGAATCGGTGAACTAGAAATTTGATAAAAAATTTCTTTAGAAAAATTAAAATAATACTGACATAAATAATTTGAGTAACTCTTACTCATTTTTAATTTCAAACTTTTAATTTAAATTCAAATTTTCCGCCAAAAAGTAAGCTTAATTTCATTTTCAATTCAATTCAATCTCATTTTCAATTTCATTGAAATTTTATGAGAAATTTCCCGCTAAATAATTAACATAACCTCAATAGCATGACCACAGTACCATGTGCGATTTTTTAAACTTTAATAAATAAATAATTATGTAATTTTTAAATATATACAACATTTCCTCTTATTTAGGTAAGTTTTTAATTTTAAAAAAAAAATTTTTATGAAATTTCTAGTTCCGATTCTGAAGGAAAAATGTTGTCATTTTTATTATCATTATCATAGTAAAAATTAAAATTAAAAGCCAAATGGCCTGAAGAGGACAACATATTCTGTCGAAACATGTTGTCCTTATAAAATACAGTTTTTTAAAATAACACCTGTTTAAATCCGTTTAAGGTATCACATCCCCTGTAATCGGAGTCAAAAGTTTGTTGCCTCGTAATGCTATTGAACGCACTATACTTTCCCCCTCAAGTTCTTATACTTTTAGCTCAACCTGTACTTACTACCACAAATACATACTTATGTCGTACATATGCCAAATCACAGAGGTGGGGGTGCTACATAATACAAATAACGTCATAAAATAGAAGCTTTAGTTCATAATTGTAAAAAAACAAGACGGTAAACTATAAATTTTATAAATTTTATTTTATATTTATTTATATTTTATAAATTACTTACGTTTTACTTGCAAAAAACGCAACTTTGATAGCGATTATCTCTGGTTCCGTGCGGTGAAAATTTTACAAATATTTCAAGAATGATAATAAGAACGTATGGGCAAATTTTTAAAAAATTCTATAGAAAAGCGTTTAGAGGATGTAATATACCTTAAAGGCCTCGTAAAATTAATCTGACAATAATTATTAATATTCAATAAATTACTCCCCATGCTTTAATAATAATCAAATAACAGGCTATAATATTAGCTTATAAAGATACTGACCCAGTACTGACTGCCAATATAAAATCAGCACTGACAGAGTTACCAGCCAGGATTTTTCCAGTCTTGGGTCAGTACTATGGCAGTATTAGATTTTTACTTGGGACCCGAAAAACTTAGGATAACAAGTTTCAAAAAAATCAATGAAACCTTTTTTTAACACATTTTTAGCCTAAACAGTAAAAAACTAAAAAAATTTACATTAAACTTGTAAAACATAAAAATAACTTAGTTTAAAGATTTTAAACAAAATTAACAATTACTATGTCAAACGTAATGACTTTCACCAGCTGTACAAGCTTCATCGTGTGCCCAGAAAGTAACAAGGTGCTACTTTCTTCCTTACCCTGTTTTTCTTTGCATGTCAACAGAAAAATTAAAACTATCTAAAGTATTATAGACTATTTAATTATACTCTAATACAATCTAAAGACAGATGATTAACCTACAAAAAACAAAAAGCACATTTTATAAAACTGTATAACGAATGAAGTATGAGGTTTTGAAAAATTTCAACTACTTCGTACATTGGACAAACTTTTTGCACTTTACACTGAAAAAATATTGATAGATGAGAACCAGAGAACCCAGAGAAATGGTATATTTGTCTCAGAACCAACTAGACTTTTTATTTGTTTGAAATAAATTTTATTTGGTTTAAATAATATTTTTCCTCTGGGTGTACAGTGGTACAAATTTAACAAATTGCGATTCTAGCTGGACAAAAGTCAAAATTTTTATGTCATCAAAAATTTTTAACTTCTTGACTGGTACGGCTTAAAAGATAAATATTGTTTCCACAAATCTGCAGGCTCCATTTTTCTAATATTTGTGACGCGACCCGAAGAAACGTTCCTAAGAAGGAAAAAATTTGAGGTTATGTTTTAAATTTTTTGAGTAAAAATACAGAAAGAGAATCAATTAATAATTAAAAATTGTTGGTCTTCAAGTCTTTATTATATTCAAAATATTTAATGAATATTGGTTTCAAATTTAAATAATTAAAAACGAACTTTTAATCAAGATAAATCTAACTCGAACCCAACCTATAATTCGTTTGCTTCTTAGGTACCTTTCTTGGGGTCGCGTCACATTTAGTACTTAGGAATATTTTTGGTTACTGTAAATAATCAAGAGCAGGGCAAAATTTTAAAAATCCAAAATGTCAGATCCAACATGGCATCTTACATTTTGAAAAAACTGACTAATTACCACAACACCTTGGTATGGGGCCGTCCATAAACTACGTCGCGCCTTAGAGGGGGGGGGGGGGGTGGAATTCATTTTTTGTGACGTTCTGTAGAAAAAATGGCGCTAAAGCATGTAAAATTTGTGACGTGGGTAGGGGGGGGGGATTATGCAAAATAGTGTGACGTACTTTGCGAACGGCCCCTATCTTGTGGGATAAACTTTTTGAAAAATTATTAAATTTTTATAAAATTAGGAACCTAGGGGTTCTAGAGATCGATAATTACGAACCTGATGTTAATATTATTTGTATTATTTTAATTCCTCTAAATTTTCTGTAATACAAAATTTCTTTACCTATGAAAAACTAGATACTAAACCTACAAATTTCACATTTCTACCCCGTGATATTTTCTATGGAAATAAATTACCCCCAAAATACATTATTTTTTCGATTTTTTAAGAAAAATGTGTGAAAAATGTGTGAATCTATAAAAGATTTTTAACAATAAGAGTTTAAAAGAGTATGTCTTAGGGTCAAGTCCCGTGGCATCGTTTTGAGTTGCGTTTTGTAACTAGGCCATGAGTGCAAATAGAGCAAACATATATCTGTATCTCTCTCACACTCATTGCCCAGTTACAAAACGCAACGCAAAACGCTATCATGGGACTCCAGCCTTAGTTATTAAGACCCGCGATAGATATAAAAACTCGTGATAATGAAATAGCTTTCAATGGTTTTTTTTGTCGCCACATTGGATCCGCCGTATTCAATTTCTACAAATTGACTTTATATTCGTAACCAGTGACTTCTAAAACCCCTAAATACTAATAATTCGCACCACTGTGCGATGTGCCTATTCAGGGATCTCTGGTTATTATTGATAGGTCCTGGGTTTCGATCCCAAGCGGACTGAGTCCTCCATTTTTCCATAGTTTAATTTTTCAATAAATTTCAAATATAAAAAATTATAACGGACAATGATAATAATTAATAATGTATTAGTATCATTTTAACCTTCGCGCTACCGGCTGGCCACCCGGTGTGGCCAAGTAATACATATAATGTTGTATATTTGCTCGACTTTTGTATCAATCGAATCGACATTTTAACTCACTGAACAAAATTTTATCTATATTCGAAAAGTACAAAAATAAATTTTTTTTTGTTTATTTATAACAATTGAAAAAGTATGCACGAGAATACTGAAAATTGACTGGGTGTTTTTTTTGTATATTGCAAAAAAAATAAAAATAAAATCATTAAACTTATACAGTAAAATTGTTTTATATCAATAAATACAATATATTTTGATGTTACAATACATTTTTTATTTGTTTAAACAAATTATTGTTGTTACAGTAGAACCCCGATTATCCGAGCTAATGTGGACCGGACCTACCTCGGTTAAAGCGAAAACTCGGATAAAACGGACTTTTATTTTAGTATATGTAATTTAACATTTTATTTTTCAAAAAGTCTCTACGATAAACGAGAAAGGGACTTTTATATTCATATTCCATAATAACTTTATCAATTTATTAAAAAACAAGAATTTTTCAAAATTATTCTACTTTTTAGGGTTCCGTACACCTACGGTGTATCTGCGGAACCCTATAAGGCTATTCAAGTTGGGTGGGGTAAAATTCAAGATGGATGCTAAATGGTGCACAAACATTGTATAGAAAGTGTATGGGATAGAGTCTAATTTTTTAAATATCTCGCTTAAACGAAATTTTTAACCATAAGTTTATTAGGATTTTATGTTTCATTTTTAAATAACTATTTTTTGCAATAATAAAATCAATAAAAAAATAAAATCGATTTTTATTATTGCAAAAAAATGTTCTTTAAAAATGAAACATAAAATCCTAATAAACTTATGGTTAAAAATTTCGTTTAAGCGAGATATTTAAAAAATTAGACTCTATCCCATACACTGTCTATACAATGTTTGTGCACCAGTTAGCATCCATTTTGAATTTTCCCCCACCCAACTTGAATAGCCTTATTGGTGAGACTCTTGTGTCCGTAGCCAAATCGTATCCCCCCCCCTAGTGGCTAAACTATTTGACCTAGAGAGCTCAAATTTGGTACAGATACGTATTTTCACACGTAGATTCCAGGAAAAATATAGAGAATCTGATTGGAGGTGATGGCCATAGCGTTGTCATTGTCGAGGAAATAACAAGATTTTTGGCCAAAAATGCATAAAAAGTGACCACCCCCCCCCCTAACTTCTAAGCTATTCAACATGGGGGCTAAAATTTGGCATACTGGTGTATTTTAACGCGAATATTACAGGAAAAATATAGAGAACTTGCTATGTAATAATAGCCATAGCGTTGTCAAGGAAAAACTAAAAAATTTTTTGAAAATTTTTTTTTCTTCTAATTTCCACATTCTTTGATCTAATTAACTAAAAATGGGTTTATTAGTATATTTTTACAGTCTGATCACAAAAAATATATTAAAAAAAATGTTTTTAATTTTTTTTAGATTTTTTAAAAAATTTAAAAATAAAATTAAAAAAAAAATTGGACAAGTGCGAGTTGAACTCGCACTGCAATGGCGGGTTCCGTACACAAATATTAAAACAATACTTGCAACATTTATCGGTAATTGGTAGAATTAAAATAAACAATTAAAAAAATATATTAAAATTATTTGATAAAAAAAATAACTAAATGAAATTAAACTAATGTATATCTAATATTGTTGTTTTAATAGTTGAATTAGTTTTCTAACAAAAAGTTAGAATTTAATTAACTATGCAACTCTACTTAAAACATGGTCCTTCGAGCCGGATTCTATAAAGAAGAGTAAAGGTGAAGAAATAAGTGATTAAATAATATGTTTTAACTGTGAATATTTTAAGTAATTTACAGTCTATGCGTAAACATTAAGTGCATTTGTGTTAAATAAATCGTACAATTTATTTATATCACTTTTAATAAACGTAAAGCAACTCTATGACCTCTTAAAAATCGTTCAAGTGACATTATGAACAAAGTGTAAAGTGAGAGTGTCATAAAAATAACAATAATTAAAAACTATTGGACAATTGAAATTGGACGTTTATACGAAAGTTATTAAATCCGTGTACTGTTTGTGAAATTTTAAACAACATACTGGATTTTACAACAACGACCAAAATCCTGTTCCAATAACTACAGAGGCAATTTGGATCGAGAAGCAGCAAAGGGATCTAGCAGAACATCTACAAGGTAACGCTCATTTATGGATTCGCGAATCCTTTAATATTTCCTTCCTAAAAAATGGCAGAGATTCAAATAAGACAAAATAAACAAAAGTTCACAACTTTAAAGGCACAAGCAACAAAATTTAAACAATTTCTTGAAGAATATCAAACGACCGCGCCAAATATAATAAAATTAAATGTTCGGTTATATAAATTTAAAGCTAATTTTCACAATTTTGACGATATTGCTGATCAACTAGAACTTCTTGATGAAGAAGTTGATCATTCAGTAGATCGTTATGAAATCGAAGAAACATATTTAGATCTTTTGACACTTGCAGAACAACTAAAAATAAGTTCTACTCCTGTTAACGTTAACATCCGCGATCATTTAAAAGACTAGATTCTTCTGTTGTATCAAAGCCCTACGCATTTTCAGTAAATATTCGAGAGCCCAACAATCAATTAATGACTAGTGTGTGCCTACGCGTTGCAAATCGAAATAATGAATTTTTTAAATGTCGCGCATTACTAGATACGTGTTCAACTGCTAATTTTGTCACTGAAAATTTAGCAAACAAATTGGGTTTAATAAAAAGAAAATGCTCGGTTCCAGTAGGAGCTCTATAAATGATATGACAACGGTGACAAAACACGTAGTCACGATAACCTTTCGTTCAACATACACTGATTTTGAAAAAACCCTTGACTTCTTAACAATTCCTTCTATATCAAATTGTATCCCGAGCGAACCAATACATCGCGAAAGTTTGAGATTGCCTTCAAATTTACCTCTTGCCGATCCAGAAGTTCATATTCCTGCTCCAATTAATGTGTTGATTGGTTCTGGACCGACATTGTCTCTGTTATGCATAGGGCAAATTAATTTATCAAAAAATCACGAAGACATTTTTTTGCAAAAAACGCGATTAGGATGGATAATTGGAGGAAACTTTAATTATTCAAAGCAAGTAAATTCAGCAAAATGTAACTTAATTAACTTGCTCGACACGTTAACTCGTTTTTGGGAAATCGAGGAAGGAAATAAAAATGTAACTTCGTCGAAGGAAGAAGTTGAATGTGAAGAATTCTTTCGCAAAACGGTAAAACGCGTTGAAAACGGTCAATATTAGGTCGCGCTATTGTTTAATTCCAAACTTCCGGAACTCGGAAATTCGTATTCAAGAGCTTTAAAACGATTAAAAGCTCTTCTTTATAAATTTTAAAAGGATCCTGTCATTATAACAGATATAGAAAAAATGTATCGACGGATTTTTGTTCGCGAAAAAGACCGAAAATTTCAAAAAATTCTATGGAAAGAAGGTGATGCTGTTTAAACGTACACGTTAAACATGGTCACATTCGGTTTGTCTCCGGCCCCTTTTCTAGCAATCCGATGTCTTTATCAACTTGCCGAAGACGAAGGCGATGAATTTCCTTTAGCACGTGAAATTTTAAAAAATCACTTTTATGTCGATAATGTTTTAACTGGTGGTGAAACCATTTCACACACGATTCAAATGCGAAACGAACTAATTGAGATTATGCGTCGTGCTGGATTTAATCTTCGTCAATGGGCCTCTAATAATGAGGAAATAATTCGCGACATAGATAAAGACGATAAATGCGTTGATTTTGAATTTGATAAAGAACAAACGGTAAAAACTTTGGGAATTACGTGGGACGCGAAAAACGATGTCATTAAATATACGGTTAATCCCATCGAATCACATTTGGTAAAAACGAAAAGGAACATTCTTTCCGAAATAGCAAAAATTTTCGATCCATTAGGTCTTTTAGGTCCAGTCATTTTATTCGCAAAACAAATAATGCAAGAATTTTGGAAATTAAAATTAGACTGGGGTGAATTAGTACCCGCTAATATTTTCACCTTATGGTCGCGGTATTGTAATCAGTTACCAGCATTAAAGGAGGTTATGTTCGAAAGAAGAATTTTAATTTCTGATTTTATTAAGATTGAATTACACGGATTCAGCGACTCCAGTGAGAGAGGTTACGGGGCTTGTGTATATTTAAGATCATTTGACGAAAATGGAAAAATTCTTGTCAAATTAGTGTATGCAAAATCGCGAGTGGCTCCGTTAAAAACTGTTTCCTTGCCGCGACTCGAGTTATGCGGCGCGCAATTGTTGGTTAAAATCACTGACGAAGTGAAAAAGGACCTCAAATTAGAATTCGATTCAATTACTTACTGGACTGACTCAACTATCACTATTAACTGGATTAAAACGTCTCCTCACTTATTAAAAACGTTTGTAGCGAATCGTGTTTCGGAAATCCAAAATTATTCGTTACCCGAACAATGGAGACACGTATCTTCGAAAGAAAATCCAGCCGATGCGTTATCACGAGGTCAATTACCGTACGACTTTCTCAAAAATCATCTTTGGTTTAACGGCCCAAATTGGCTTCAAACCAAAGAAGAATTTTGGCCACAATCTCAATTTGAACAAATGAACGAACTTCCTGAAATAAAAGAAAATGTTTGTCTTTTGTTAAGCGAGATAATGCCTGAATTTTTATTATCCTTTTCTTGTTATTCTTTATTATTGAAAGCCGTAGCATATTGTTTGAGATTTAAATATCGAAAAAACACACAACTTTTGGATATCGATGAATTAAATCGAGCTGAGAAAAGGATAATTAAAATAATTCAGACATCATCTTTTGCAAATGAGATTCGACTATTATCTCAATCAAAAGAACTTTCCAAGGGAAGCAAAATCTTTCCACTTAACCCATTTTTAGATGAGGAAAAAATTCTGAGAGTGGGTGGAAGATTAAAACATTCAGATTTGCCATATGCGGTTCAACATCCTATTCTTTTGCCTAAATCTCATGCCATAACTGATCTTATCATTCGTATTTGTCATTTAAAGAATCACCATTCAGGAATTCAAACGACCCTTTATTCCATGAGACAAAAGTATTGGGTAGTGGATAGTCGAAGTGTGGTATGAAAGGTTATTCGTAAATGCGTACAATGTTTTCGAACAAATCCACCAAAGGTTGAGTATATAATGGGCAATTTACCGAAGGTTAGAATTACTGTCTTTGTTTGCCTCGTAATTAAAGCAGTACATCTGGAAGTAGTCAGCGATTTGACTACCGAAGGATTTCTGGCCGCATTAAAAAGATTTATAGCACGCAGAGGAAAACCTCTTAACATTTTTTCTGATAATGGGACTAATTTTGTTGGAGCGAACAACCAACTTAAAGAAATCTATGCTTTGTTCAATTCTAATGAGCATCAATCAAAATGTTTCAAGTTTTCAAGCGATTTATGTGTGCGTTGGCATTTTATTCCACCTGTTTCTCCCTATTTCGGAGGACTTTGGGAAGCAAGTGTCAAATCATTTAAACATCACGTTAAAAGAGTAGTAACCGATTCTTTATTCACATTTGAAGAATTTAATACTTTTACAATAGAAATTGAAGCCATTATGAACTCCAGACCTTTAACTCCTATCTCAAATGATCCTAATGACCTTCTTGTTCTAACACCTGGTCATTTCCTAATCGGCGAATCGTTAACAAGTATTCCTTCTCTTGATGTCACAACAACTGCTACAAACCGGCTTTCCAATTGGCAACATCTGGAGAAGATTCGCCAACACTTTTGGGCCAGGTGGTCCAACGAATATTTAAACGAATTGAATATTCGCTCAAAATGGACTAAAGGTCAACATTCGATCCAGGAAGGGACACTTGTAAGTATCAAGGAAGATAATTTACCACCAATAATGCAATGGAGATTGGGTTGAGTAATAAAAATGCATCCTGGAGATGATGGCATTCTCCGGACAGTGGTAGTAAAAACTGCCAATGGCGAATTAAAACGAAATGTAAAGGGATTATCACCCTTGCCCATCAACAAATTTATGTAATTTCTAGTTGATCACTCCGTTCTCAACGGGGGGAGTATGTTGTGTTGTACACAAAATTTTACAATATTCAAAATAATGAATAAATTTAAGATAGATATTTTCAGTAAAAATTTGTCAAAAATATTTATGACTTTACAACTACTGTACTTAGGTCTAGTACCTTTTTTTATAACTTAAACTCACAGATTAAGTAATAAAATTGAACGTGTTTTTAAAGTTATTTTTGGGATTAAGAGCCAGATGAGTTTAGATTTGGAAACTATTTTGACAATAGACATTGTACTCTGAACTTTATTGCACTTAACGGACTTCTCATCTGTTTGTAATTAGGGCCCAGGACCCTTTACCTGAAACTGTACACGGAAAAAAATTTCATGACGCGAACGAGCAATATTGGGAATATAATTAAAATAAAGAACAACATAACCAACGTTGGGAATTAAGCTTAACAACATTAGCCGAAAGTTTAACCAATTCAGTGATAGTGAGCTTTGGTTGAGTGCAATTCGTCAGCCATATGGGAAGTATATGGAAATCTTGTTTGACAGCATAAATATCAGTTTTGTGTTTTTTTAGTTTTAAAACAGTATTAAGTTCAATAATTTACTTTCATATGGTTGTAATTTGAAACATACGATTGAAAAAAATTAAAAATCCGCATTTAATTTTAATTTTCACAGAATTTTAATTATATCTGTCATTGTAGGGTTAGATTGTCTTTCAAGTAAAATTCAATATCGCTATTCTAGCGATAATGCCAATATCGCTCGCTCGTTTTTGACGAAATGTTTAGCTGTTATGGCGAAAAATTTCTCCATTTCAGTTGTACTTTTTTTCCGTGTACGAATTTAGCTATATCCCCTCTTGTTTGCACTGTATCCCCACTTTTAAACTACAATCTCAGGATAGAAAACCGATCTTAGATCCAGGTTAATCAGTTGCTCTTCGTCTTTGTAATAAACTATACATTGAATAAATACTTATAGAATCCGTAAAATAATCTATGCGTTTCATTTACACGAAATCCAATGCATTTTTTTAAGTAGAGTTGCATATTTAATTAAATTCTAACTTTTTGTAAGAAAACTAATTCAACTATTAAAACAATTGTAAACAATAATAAGTATAGGAACAAAATTTTCAAAATTAGTTTTTCGACTTACACGGAGAGACCGAGATTATTAATAATTTTTGTATAAAATCACACTAGAATTTACTATTTTCACATTGCAACCACCGGAAATAAGGGGACTTTTTGTATTTTTTACTATTTTCTTCACTAAGTCACTAATCCGACAAATGTTCACCAAATTAGCAAAGTTTCTTACTATTTCGTCCAATAGTTCCAAACAACTGTAGTAAACTCAGAAGTATTGTGTACATAAAATTACTATAGTCGTTTGTAAATGCAGAAAGAAAGAGTGAAACAAAAAATACGGACTTTTATCGCCGGTTTCCCATCAATTCTTGACTAATGGAGGTAAACTGGAAGGATATTTACATACACAGACACACACACACTTACACACTTATATATTTGTTGGATAAATATTTGAAGACACACACGTGTTTATTTCACTTATATGTACAGACGCGGTTAATTAATACACTAATACACAACTGCACGCACAACAACGAATTTCACTGAAAGTATACATCTTTGTTTCCTTATATATTGAATGATGAAAATTTACAGCACTTACGAGAAAGCAGTTTACTTTTAACAACTTATTATAAGACATAGTTCTTGGGACAGGAATAAATGCAAAATTTATTAATTTATAATGGTCAATTTCCGAGATAACGAACGACCTACGTTTCACTTTATATTTAATTATTGTAGATAATATCCAAATTTATTTTACATACGCGAAACATAGTCACTGTCAATGATCGGATGGCATCGGCTCATTTACGGAGATTGACGAAGTTAGCAACCAATAGAAATGCAGGCGCCATATGACTGCACTCGCTATGTTTTCATTTGTCAGATTTTGTCTAATTAAATTAGAGAAAACTATAATCAATTTTTGCTACATTTACAACTCTTACACAAAATATTAAAACTTGCTATTTCAATGTAGCAAATGTATCTATTTCTTTTGTAAATTTATCTATTTCTGTAGTACATTATGATAAAAGTCCCCTTATTTCCGGTCATTGCAACCATTTTTAGTAATTTTTACAGATGTGGGTCTCTCCGTGTATTATTGTTTACAATATTAGTTATACAATACTTTAATTTCTTTTAGTTATTTTTTTTTATCAAACAATTTTAATATATTTTTTTAATTGTTTATTTTAATTCTACCAATTACCGATAAATGTTGCAAGTATTGTTTAAATATTTGTGTACGGACCCCGCCATTGTAGTGCGAGTTCAACTCGCACTTATCCAATTTTTTTTAATGTCGCGACTCGGATAAGTCGAACTAGGCCAGTCGAAATACTCGGATAATTGGGTATTTCCTCTTCTGACGCCAGCTCGGATAATCGAGACTTCGGATAAAGCGAGCTCGGATAACCGGGGTTCTACTGTATTTACCAACTTTTTCCAGAATGCACCTAGAAAGTTGCAGTTTTTTCCTAATTTTGCAATTTACTAAATCTTATATAATTACAGATAAAGAATAAAAATTGAACTATTGTTTAAACAATTTTTAAACAAATTATTGTTGTTATTTACCAACTTTTTCCAGAATACACCTAGAAAAAGTTGCAGTTTTTTCCTAATTTTGGAATTTACTAAACTCTATATGACTGCAAATTGCAATTTATAAACAAATTATTAATTTGTTTATAAATTGTTTAAATTATAATTTTATTTTATTCTTTACCTGTAATAATATAGAATTTAGTAAATTGCAAAATTAGAAAAAAACTTGCAACTTTCTAGGTGCATTCTGGGAAAAGTTGGTAAATAACAACAATAATTTGTTTAGAAATTATTTAAATAATAATTCAATTTTTATTCTTTATCTGTAATCATATAAGATTTAGTAAATTGCAAAATTAGGAAAAAACTGCAACTTTCTAGGTGCATTCTGGAAAAAGTTGTTAAATAACAAGAATAATTTGTTGAAATAATTTTTTAATAATACTTATGACTCGTTTCAGTAAATGTTGCAATATTCATAAAACATTATTAAAATACAGTATTTGTATTAACACATAATTATATACAAAAAGTTTGATGAATTTTAATCGTTTTGGGAACATAAAAGTAAAATAGCGTTGGGACACACCGGGTGGCCAGCCGGTAGTCCGCGTATACAAAAATCTTTGGTAGCGCGAAGGTCAATCCGAGTTTTCCTTTAAAATTATAAGCGTGTTTCTTTTCTTCTCGCTCTCTCTAGTGGTATTTATAACTTATTCATTTATTCAAAACCAGATAATTTTTAATTCATTTTTGTCGTAGGTTTAAATAAATTGTCTCAAAATTTACTTTATTCTCTAAATTTGAATTAGTGAAAAATGTGGATAAACTGTAAAATTATAAAAAACCCTATTTCTGCTGGTGTAATAAAAAAATTAATAAATAACAATAATACATTTTTTAAACATATAACAATGCATTATGACATCAATAGAATTTTTACATAAAATATGTAAAATTAAAAATTCTTAACCATTTCATTTCTTTTACTATAAGTCAAATGCAAACAATAAAACATTGCCCAAAAAGCACGTAATATATTACACTCATGTTATAATGTAATGGTAATATTACCTGGGGTGCGATTTTGTAATTTGACTTAGATTTCGACATTGACTTTCATTTCCACTTGGACGTTGAGATTTATTTTCACTTTGACTTTGACTTTTATTTTGAGTTTCATTTTCACTTTGACTTTGACTTTTACTTTAAGTTTTATTTTCACTTCAAATTCAAAATCAACATCAGAGTCAAAATCTAAGTTAAAGTCCAAATGAAAATGATTTTCAAAATTCAATGTCTAAATCAAAGTCCAAATCAATGTTAAAGTTTCTAAAAAAAGTTAATGCGAAAGTCAAAGTCGCACTGAAAATCAAAGTCAAATTACAAAATCGTAGCCCTGGTAACATTACTTTAATATTGCAACAATATTAGTGTTGTACAAAAGTAAATAAAATATGTACATCTAATGATTGAAGAAGAGAAGTTTTTTTTGTTTAATCAATAAATTTACACTTTATTGAAATTTTTTTTATAAATCGTGTAATAATATGACCATCAGACGGATATTTTAATATTACTATACCAGTAATACTAGTAGCACGTAATATTATAGTAATGTTACAGTACTATTACATGTTATAGATAAAGCAGATTTGACTGTATGAGTCAGTAATAAGTTTACTGGTTTTCAAACAAAATATTTTATTTTTCATAACTAATAAATTTAAATTTAAATTTTATTGATTATCAATTAATCTCTATTTTAATTTTAACCTCTTTTTTACCTACAGTCCTATAAATGTCTTGCAGTAAATGATAAAAAAAAACTTTTTTGTTTGCAGGTTCGTTGGAGTTTTTTAAGAACCGAAAACTGATGTTAAGCTATAATCTATTTACATTGTCTAGTCAGCAAAGGAATCCGCATTAGAAAAGAACTACCATAAAAGAAAGGGAATAGTTTTGGGCTCAAGATGGATTTAACTGAAGCTTTTACTCCCGGTGGTGGTGGCAGCGGGGTTGTAGTTACTGAAGATATGGAAAAAACAGATTTCTTTGATTTTGTTGTTTCACCACAATCTTTGTCATCAGCTCAAGGAACTCAGTCAGTACCCCCTCATTGTACTTCAATTGAAACTAATGAAGAGAGTATTTTGCGTCAAACACAAAACTGTAGGGCCTTGGATTTTTTACATAATCGACAGTTAGGTATGGAAGATACCGAACGCGTATTGCCTTTCATTAAAGAAACAAATAACAATACTCTGACTGCATTACCACCGGTTTCTACAATTACCAGTTCTTTGAGTCAGCATTCTAGAAATAATAATTGCGATAATAATGATCATATTTCAATGGAACATTCTGACTGTGATTATTGGAGCGCTGTTGGAGATAATAAAGACTCAGCATGTAATATTCTTCTTGAAGATTTAAATAAATACTGTTGGTCTACGCACCATACGGATTGCCATCATTCACTTGTAGGTCAGTCTGCCGATGCTTCTATTGATTTACATCAACAAGTTAATGATTCTGTATCAACTGCTTGTAGTGACAATGGTAGACAGAATACAGATGGCGCCATTTATACTTTGACTGTACTCAACAATGAAACTGATTCGATGGATGCGTTGGACTGCTGCAAGAGTCCAGTTCCGACAGTTTCCGACACGTGGTCTCTGAGACCCAATCTTGACCTGGACGCGATTCTTAGCTTAGAGCCTGCAACAACGGAACAACAAGACCATGAAAGAATTGGAATAGATTCTTCTGGAAACTCCTTTCACACGTCAAATCATCCAAGCACTCATTACTCCACGGACGATGGGAATTTTGTCGACAGCAAAGAATTACCGAGATTGCAACCGAACCCTTTAGGTGACAACAATAATGACTGGAAGCTATCTGATCAAAACCACTTAAATGAATCGACAGTTGCAACAGCAACAGTCTCTGCTGTTGTTTCAGATTCTGCAGAGAGTTTACTTAGAAGCGCTCTTCAAGGAAAGTTATACACAACATGTTCTTCTGCTCCTGTTTTGGTGTCCTCATCCTCAACATCTCAAGCTAATTCTACTATATCCTTAACAGCTTCCTCCACTGGCAGTACATTGCAACTTATTGCCGATCAACATCTCCATCAACATCAGCAGCAAGATCATTTGGAAGAGGAAGTAATAAACACCGATGAAGATCTAATATTATCTCACTTAGACACACCTACATATCGGCCAGGAGAATATGAAAAGCTGAAGAATATTGCGAACGAAGTGGTTGAGTCCTACTGCAGTTTGGAACCTGTTTGCAACGTTGCTGCCACAACAGTTATGTACACCTTGGATCCAAGCAGTGGTAGTCTCGGAACTATCACTTTGCCAGCTGATTTGAGCCAAGTTGGAACTGTAACAGTGGTGACAGCAAGCAGCCTCGCTGCTCAACAAGAGATTCTACAACAAGCCGTCAGCACCCGATCAGACATTTCGGAATCAATCCAGCAGCAAGTAACATCTAACCAGATAACGAATGCAAGGGTGACTACTAGTGGGAGTACCAGCTCGACTACAAAGTCCGGCAAGAAATACTGCAGACGCAAGAACAATAGCACAAACAATTCCAATACTGGAGCGGCTAATGCGTCATCGTCTTCCTCTCTTCTAAGTAGCAATAATAGCATTAATAGTAGTAGTGGTAATAGTAACAATAACTCTAATCAACAACAATCTGGACAGCCCAGTGGTTCTCCTAGTAGTGTTCAAAGGAAAGAAAGATCTCTTCATTACTGCAGTATTTGCAGTAAAGGTTTTAAGGATAAATATAGTGTAAACGTGCACATTAGGACACACACTGGAGAGAAGCCTTTTGCTTGTTCACTATGTGGAAAGAGCTTCCGACAGAAAGCTCATTTAGCCAAACATTACCAGACACATGTAGCACAAAAGCCAAATGTTGCCAACGCCAACAACAATAATGCAAGCACTAGTACAACTAGCAATAGCAATAACAATAGTAATAGTAATAGTAGTAGTTGTAGTAATAACAATAACAGTAGCAACAATAATTCTTCTGCCGATTTGTCAACGGGAAGGACACAACCACAACTTGTTACTACCATTGCAGCCAGTTGTAATCCAACTTGCAATTGATTTATCTGAGTGATGAGCGGTGTAAAAAATTATTGAAAGATACACAATGTGTTCTACGCCTTAAAAATATGGTACTCCTTTTTTACTTTTTTATTTTTTTATCTGTAGCAAGTGAAATGCGTCGAGAATCTCCTGTTTCATAAATAATAAATGTAAAAACATTTCACTCATTTTTTACATTGTGTTCTTCCCGAGATTTTCAGTTTTTTCATATTTTTTGAGCGAGACTCACTCGACGTGCATCACTATCTGAAACATTCGCTCAAATCTTATTTTAAATGACTTTAAAAGAGCTTATTCTATATCAATTTGCCTCCTCTTTTAATTAATTGATTAATTAATTGATATTGAGTTATTTTAATAATAAATTATTTAATAATACTCCTTTTTAGAAAGAGCAGCAACTCTTTGGGTTAAAAAACTGTTACTCCTACTTTGATAATAACAATTAAAAATCTTTATTAACAGAAATGCAATATCAAAGTCTTTTAGAATACAATTCACTGTTAATTATAATTAAACGTGTTTCATAGAAGCATACATTGTATTTACAATTTTATTATTATCGTTTTCCTTATTTTTCGTTTCTCTTATCGTAAATCTCTATATCAAATTATTGTATTGTTAGTAAAAAATTATGTATTTTATTGATTGAACCAATGCAACGAATATATAATCTATGATAACTTTCTAATGAAGTGAAATTATTATATTTACTTTAATATTTATTAATTTAAATTTTCTTTTAAGTAAATAACTTTAGTTTATTTTATATGTATAACACATTTTCATTATGTATTGATGCGTTTGTTCCTCTGTGGAAACCAAATTTGACTACATTATTGCTACATATAAATAATATCATAACTTAACAATATACACGTATTGTTATTAGACTTTTATTATATTCATAACAAATGTAAGGAACAATTATTAGCACAAACTGTGATTTAGATACAATATTTGTCTACGTTGTCAATGGTTTTAAAAGAGATTTTTAATAAAGCTTTTTATTTGTACTTATAAAGTTTATTAGTAGTAGGAAAATATGCTTTCCTAAATATTGAGAATTATTTAATTCATAAAGCACTTATGTTACTCAAGATTTTTATACAATTTATTTTAGTGAAAATTTATACCTTTGACATTACTTTAATAAAATATAATTTAGTTTTATTGAGAACTGTTCAAATTTTTCATCTTTAGAAAATCTGAAGAAAGCAAATCTTATCCCTTCATTTATTGCTCCTATAGAATCTTTCAACAGTACAAAACTTTATTAAATTATTTTTTAATCGTCAACTTGATTCAATTTCTTTTTTAATATTTAGTTAATTTTATTAATAATTAGGTATACAAAATAGTAAATATACATTTATGAACAATTTTGTTTCTTCTTTTAAATTTATTAACATACATATATACCCCCACCACAACATCTAAACTTGCAGCAACATTGACAATATTGCCGCAAGTTTCACAATATTGAAACTGTCCTAAAAATTTATTAAAGATTTACTTGCAAACTTGGAAAAATTTACTTGTAAAGTTTAGTGAAAATTGTGTAATGATTTAAATGTCCCACTTCAATATAAATGTTTATCGTCAAATTTTCCTAAAAATTTAGCTTAACTTTTCTGAACATTTAAATTAAATTTTCGACTTCTCTCTTATAAGCGAAAATGTAGCATACATTTTTCAGGAAAGTTTCACGCTAAACATTTATTGAAGTGGGACATTTAAATCTTTACAAAATTTTCACTAAACTTTGCAAGTAACTAATTCGAAATTCGCAAGTAAAACTTTAATGAATTTTTAGGAAAGTTTCGGTGCTGTGTGGATTTAGATGCTGTAGAGGTAATAATTTATTAATTTAAAAAGAAAAAAAATGTTATTTGTGATTTGTCACCTATATTTCTGACCAGCGCAGATGTCTAGGTCAGTGTTTTATATTTTCTTTGCGTCATATATTATTGTGATTATTAACATCTCATAAGATATTAATACATAATAATACGTATAATTAGATAAACTTAAATATAATAATTTTAATGATTATGTAAATTGGTTAAAACTAACTTCTAGTGGTTAAAAGCTATCGATCTACCCTAATTACAATTGATTCAAGTAGAGTTTAAACTGTTACTATATTTTCTAGTCTTAACGAAATTATGCGGATAATATGACGTAAGTATATATTATGTATTTTCAGCATTTCTACTTTTAGCTTAGAAATGTAATAAGTTTGTAATAACCTTGTCAAGTAAAACTAAACTGTGTGTTTTTTTCGATTTAAATACAAGGAAAATGTAACTCAAATTTTTTTGCAGATTGCACTTAAAAAAGAATTTTTTGATTTATACGAAATATGTAATACCTATGCAATTGAGGAGCTTGATTCTAGAACCCAGCTCCTCAATTGACCTGCAAGACAATCAAAATGTTTCACAATGACAATGTTTATTAACATGCTTCACATTTAATTACACGTGATTAATAATGTGTTTAACCGATAAAAGTTCCTTAAGGCTGCGTCTACAATAGAAAAAAATAATGTGTAGAAAAATGTGTAATTTGTAGTGTAATGTGTATTGTTTTTAGCACTGCCAACTGTCAGGGTCGATTACACTATACATAACACAATTTTCTACACATTATTTTTTCTGTTGTAGACGCAGCCTAATAACTATTAAAAATACTGACAATTGTAAAAATATATAAGGTAAATGTCCCTATTTGTGGACTACTTAAATTTCTACTACACTTAAAAGTGAATAAAAAATGCCTTTTATGTTTTTTTTTATAAAAATATTTTTTTACTATAAGAAGATATATTGATTTTTAAAGCAAATATGACTTTAAATCAATTGTTTTATTGTCAAAATATAGAAATTATTGTGTTTTTATGAAAAAAGGTTAATGTACTAATTTGTGAATCGATTAGTATTTTTCATGAAAACGCTATAAGCACCAGCTGTTTAAAATAGTTATTTTCGTATTAAGGGCGCAAAATAGGTGATTGTGGCGAAGGCGAGATTAGGGAAACCAATGGGACCCGAAGGGTATAGAGTCGCCGAGGTTTCCCCATAATCTCGCCTGAGACTCTATCACCTTTTGCGCCCGTGCTGCGAACAACATTTTTTGTTCTGCTGCATGGAAAGTGTGTTATTAAGTGCACACACATTTGAATGAATTGTTTCTTTGTTCCATATTGTTAAAAATGACATGTTATGCCATTTTCCAAAAGTTAAGGTCACTGGATGCACAAATGAGCGAAAAAATATTTTACGCCCGCTTCTGTAATGGCTGCGGGCAGGAATGTATTTTGCGCCCGCTCTCCATACCTCTGGGCGGGAATCACTTACTTTGCGCCCGCCGCCTCATGTGCACGAAATAACACACTTTACGTGCAGGCAGGACAAAAAAGTATAAAGATAGGCAAATATAAATTTTTAAAGGTAATAATTTAAAAGAATTTTTAAGTGTTGTTTGTGAATGTAAATGTTTATATATTTTTACAATTATTGTCAATATTTTAATAGTCATTAATGAACGGTTACCCAATATTTTGATCGGTCAACCTTTGGCAGCCATAGTTTACATGAAAGGAAAATAAAGCAAACAAAGTTTTGTTTAATATATTTTGTATTGAAAAATTCAAGAAAACTTTTGATACGATCAAGAAATTTGACAAATGAAAAGTTTATAAAATAATATATGTTTTCAGGGCACCCTCACAGAATTACTTGAATCTTGGTAATATTGCATTTATTGGTATATAGAGTTTCAGAAAATCAACTATTTGAACCAAAACTGTTGTTTATTTATAAGACACAATTTTTGTTATTAGCATATTTAAATAATTGTTAATGTTGTGACATCTATTTTGCAATTAAACCACCAGCTTTTGTAGCTGCGTTAACCCCTTCATAGAATGCCATTAATCATTTGACTCAAAAAGTTGATTTTCTAAAACTTTATATAAATAAATGCCATATTACCTAGTTTCAAGTAATTCTGTCATCTGTGAGGGTGCTGCTGGAGTCGCACATATTTGTCTGAAAAAATTGCACAAAGAAAAAATAACTTTCAGTTACTTTACAACTGTTGCGCAATAACATTCTTTTAAAAAGCTTAATACTCAAGTCAGAAAGTTAAATACCTTATTAAAAGTGGTTGAAACAATTCTTGATGGTTTCTGAAGGTACCCAAGCAGCACGTAAAAATATCTTAATATTGCATTCGATATTCGAAATATCAATGTGTAATATTACAGTGATGTTATTGTTATATCAGAATGTCCGATGCAAGGTAATATTACACATTGATATTGAGGTAATGTTACATGTAATATTACCGTGTATTAGCGGACATTTTAATATTCCTGAAAAATCACTGAAATATTAAAATTAATATTACAAGTGTCTAATGTAATATCCGTGATTACCACATGTTACTTGGGTAAGTTTGATTGTAAAAATTATTGTTTTAGAATTCATTAACTTAATTTGGGAATAAATAAATTTTAAACGTGAAATTTTCGTACACACAAATGTAGTGTTATTAAAAAAGTGCAAGTGCGCAAGTTCAATACAATAAATATTTTTCCTAAAAATATTTAATAAATGTTAGTTTAAGAACTTGAATTATACATAATTATTTACTGTACAAAAATGTGACGAAAGTCATATAAGTTTTTTGTTAAGGATAAAATGACAAATTTTCTTACAGTACAATTTATGATTAACTTAAAGCATAAAATAAATTAAGGAAGAGGTTTATCAGTTGTATTGGTTATGTTCGATGCTGTGGATGAACGTCTAGAAGCTTCGGCTTCTCTTAAAGCTTCATCAAAGCCTTGTGTAGAATTAGATCTAGAAGGCACGACTTTGGTCTATGAACAAAAATATTAACTTCGTTTTAAAGAGTATGCTTATTGTTATACGCATCAAAGCAATAAACATATATTATGAAAGAAAATTTTGTTTTGGCCAGTATAGAAGCATTCTCGAATAATTAACTTAGTAGTACATACCTTTACATTCTCGTAAGCTGATCCGACTTTTTCTTCAAGAGAACGGAAACTATTAGAATTTCTCATTTGACCAATTTTCATGGAAAGTCCACTTCCAAAACCACCAAGAATGCTGGTTGTTTTTTCTGCAGTAGATTTAAACACTGATTCTGTTTTCTGAAATCTAAAAAATATATTGTCTAACAGTGGAATATAAATATTTCATTCCAATCAAATGCTACATTTTTGACATTATTTTCTTTTATAGGTTTCGCTCATAAACTTGGTAAAAAATTCAGAGAAATGAAATTATGTTTACAATAAAATTACACTAAAAAAAATGATAATATCAATTTTGACATATACTCGTATGGTTAGGACGTATAGCTGAAACGGCTGAAACAGCAATACTGTATTGATGTTCTTAAAATACAGTATTGGTGTTCTCCACATACATATGTCTGTTCTACACTGCGTATGGCTGAAACAGCAATACTGTATGGCTGTTCCATATCCACCAATATAATATGTGAGAATTGGCCATATTATTAATTTGTAATGGAGGGGGGAAGAAGGATTAGCTTTAGTATAAACATTGATCCAAGTCCAATCCCATACATTAGTATCGGACTAAACTTGTACTTGGACTCATTGTCTACATAGTTGTGAAATTGGTAACTTAGTTTATGAACGTCCCCTTATTTAAAATGTCTGTAAAAACACTAAAATTTCAAGTACAGCTTAAAAATGATTGTAAATCTGAATTTTAAAATTACATCAACTTCTTGATAGTAACGTAAATGAAAATTGTATACTTAAAGTTCTTACACGTGACTTTCTTTAACATTACGGAGTCCTTGATTGACATCTTCTGATAATTCTCTCCAAACACTTATACCTAATTTTCTTTTCAATTCATGTGAAACTCTTACTTTGCTTGATAATACGTGTCGCAATGTTTGAATTTCCTCTTCTACCTGAAAGATACTATTTTATTACATAATGCTAACATTATAATTACTTTCATATATATGTATAAAAAAATGTATGTATAGCATCTGTACTAACTGGTATTAATAAATTATTTTACTACTATTCACTTTATTTAAACAGTGGAAAAATACTTTTCAACAAGATTCGTTCAAAGTATACATACAAAAGCCGATGTGATGTACCACCTGAACAGTGAAACTGATATTTGCACAGATTAATTGAACAGAAAGTTTTTTCAAGAATGATTCTTAAGCTGTTAATAGCAAAACATCTTATTGGGCTTCAAAAAACCCTCAGTTGGTATTTCTGGTAAGTATTTGGCCTTGGAATTTAAACAATGCTAAACAAAAGAACCCCAGAAGGAATGGCGGTCCATTAAGAAAGTAGTCAGTCTTAGATGAATTTAAGATTTAAGAATCGTCCGAGTTACCTGATTGGGTTGTCAATTTGACATAAGTTTTGCATTTAGAATGGAGTCTGTTTATTTTTAAGTGAAATGATCCAAATTTTTGGCCAAGCGAGATCGTGAAAATTCACTTAACTGTATATGATTGGCTCTACAAAAAGCTGCGTGAAAATAAATTTTTGTCAAAGCCAATCATATTTAGTAACGTAGATTTTCACGACCTCGTTCGCCCAAAAACTTGGAAGTGTGTAGACGCCTTGAGAGTTAAGAGAAAAATCGGACTATAATAATTAAAGAATTCATTAATTATATAACGTACAAGGGGCCTTCCGGAAGCCTCTATTTCAAGAAGTTATAAAATTAATTTGGGTTTAGTTAAAAACAAAGTTATATACATGGTTGGAAATGTAATGTAATCAGCTTTCCAGTGCACTGAAGATGAAGGCTCTAAACTTAGATGTCAGGGCATTAAACACTAAATAGACAGTTCGTCAGTGTAAATATTATAAAGAAAAATTTCCAGTTTATATGTACTTTAGCCAGTTCTGCACTCCACTCTTCTTTCTGCCTTTCCCGTTCCTCTGGTGAAAGACCTTGTAATTCATTTGTAAAATCCTCAGTCGTGGAAGGTGAAACAGATCCAATAGAATTTAAAGAACCGCTTGAATAAAGTGATGCATCTTCTCCTACAATTGAAGAATAATAATATGTACTCATTTATCTATAAATAATAAAAATATATTCGATTGTAATTTGGATGAAAATAATTTTTTTTAAATATTTACACCATGAGAAATTTTAATACAAGGACTGGTTATGCAGCACCCCTCGGAATAAAGAAAGTACATTCAACAAATTTTTTAGTAGATTTGGTAACTTTTCAACTTCTTTAAATAATTTAATATAATAGGAATTTTTGCTGTGAAAGCTAATATTATTAGCTGTATTCTTATGTTCTTGAAGTTACCATCGAAGCTTAGCGTCCAAAACTATTATTAGGAATTTTTAACCCTCCGTCACACACCTAGGGAGGGATTCCCTCTACGGTTTCAGTATTTTTTAAATAACTTTTGTTTTCCTCATTGCAAAATATAATCAGTTTCTATACCTTTCAACAATTTACTCCTCAACACATTTCTAAAAAAACATTTAGTTTAAACATAATTAATATTTAATTATGAAGCTTCAAAGCCAGAAAAAACTCGAAAAAGTGAGGTTATGTTAAATAAAAAAATCAAGTTTTCAAAACATTTTTTGTTCCACTGTTGGTTAATGGCAAAATTATATTATAAATATAATTAAAATGAATTGTTTAATGATTTTTTTGCTTATTTGTTAATGTTACATTATTTTTACATGTAAAGTGGAATTCCTTCGAAGATGTGCATTCGTGTAATTAATGTTTTTTTTTGAGACCGAAAATTAATTTTAATAATTTTATAATTTAGAATAATTTACTACATATTTGTAAGTTTGTGTTAAAACTAAATTTTTGTTGATTCCTTTGTTTATGTTGTAATGTTGCTTATTTTACAATGTGGTGAGGGATTCCCTCTAAACGTGTGTAAAGTCGTAATTTTTTCCCATGTGTGTGACGGAGGGTTAAAAATGAAATTGTCACTATTTTTCATTCTTTCGTTCACCAAGGAAGTTAAAATAAATGTTTACGATACTTTTTAACCTAAAATCTTTGTTTGATTCTTTTCCATTTTTTGAAAAAAAATTGTTTTCGACCTAATTTATTGTCAAAAGCAACATATCATTTCCTGCTGAATATTTCAACTATATCAACACTAGAATTAAAACATCATTATCCACAACACCATGATTCAAACACGGACCATATTGAACACTTTCTTTCCTCTGTAGGTATAGATAATTCATATAATTTAATATAAATTCATCCCCTATAATTATAAATGTATAGCTAAAATTTTTTAAATTTGTTCTGAATTCATTTGAATCTTATGATAACATAAATATTTTCTTAATAAAACTTCTTTATCACCCTTTATTGTTCACTTGACTTCGAATTGTATTTTTTTCAAAGAACTTAAATGCAAACTACAAACATATGCCAAATTTTTCACATATGAAATGAGAGAAGTAAGTAAGGCACATATATAGACTAAAACATTTAAAATAAATTATTATTATTATTCCTAAATGATTTTCCAAATTATTTCGTTAAAAATGGTCTACTTTTAGTGTATTCAATGTAGCAAGAATAATATATTTTGAGGTTAAAACATGTAAGTTTCTATGCTTTTACCTAAATAAAAATAAACCAATAGTGCTGCAGGAGACGTACAATTGCGACTATTTTTTATCATATGCTCAATATAGAAAATTATAAAAAAATTATTAATAAATGAGATAATTATTAACAAAAATGTCGTTAAAATATAAATTTCTTCGTTTTAATAAAAAATATATTTAACATTTTTTTAAAAAATAGATTACAATATGATTGCGTTTTTATATTATAATTATCTTTCTTTCTGTCATCTTACCTGTTGGAATGGAACTCATTTTAAAATTAATTTTTTCACTTTCTTTGATACTGTTTCTACAAATATACACGAAAAAAGCACTTTTAAGTAAGTTGCAAATACATAGACACAATTCAATTTGTTCGGTATGAAAAAATGTATCCTGTATTATTATTTCTTAGAACGCTGAAAATGAGTAGCTGTAATAAATACTATTATAATTTCTATGACTATAGATTGAATAGTAGAGACATGGATAATTCCATGAAAAACTCGAAATGTATAGATTGTAGTCGGGATTGAATAAAGACCAACGCCTTTATACGGAACGGAAGCCGGAGATGATGGTGTGTCTGCAATAGAATGCCAAGAGCAAACGTTGCGTTGATTTTTAAACGTACAGTGACGTCAGTAATCTGTTGGGTTTTAAGGTCTTTTTCCAATAGTATTTAAAATCCTGCATTGCGAATGTGATTCGTTGATTTGTACGTTACTTGGATGCGTGCGCATCGTGTTGAGTCTTGTCTTTTAAAATACGTATTTTACAAATGTAAAAAAACCCATGTAATTTATCTCAAAAACTCTCGAGTTACTCGTAACGGCGCAACCCTGCCTTTGACTTTTTCTTTACGGTGCACTGTAAAAAAATCTGGTGTAAAATAACACGAAACTTGTAATTTCACACATCAAAATTATAGGTTGTACGTATAGTAAATTTATTTCGTTCCAAAAGTAGTTTTACTATTTTTAATAATTTTACATTATACGACTATGTAATTTAATAGTTTTGTGTAAATTTACTACGTCCGACGTAGGAAAATTTGATCACTATGTCCGACGTGGTATTTTTACATTGCGTGTATTTCTACACTTTGACGTAATATTACGTCCCCCGATCTGTACAATTACATGGCGAATGTAATTTTCTTATTCCTTTAAAATTTTCAAAAAATTTTAAAGTTTTTATAAATAACTGTAAAAAAGTGTATATAATGTACATTTATAGAAAGTATATGCTAATTTATAAGTAAATAATAATATTACAAAAAGTTTTGGGCTATATTTCATAAATACAAAAAGTTACGATTGAAAATATTATTTCAAAAAATATTTGCAGGTTATGTAGATTACAGTCGGCGTGTAAAAATACCACGTCGGACATAGTGACCAAACTTTCCAACGTCGGACATAGTAAATTTACACCAGATTTTTTTACAGTGTGTGTCTTTGGTTGGTTCCAGAATGGACTCGACGCAAACGCAGACGCGACGCGTCCCCATTTAATTAGCATTGGGACAATAGCACTCTTGAACGGAACGTAAACGTAACCAAACAATATACTTATTCCCACAAAGCACAGTATTTTTCTGCAAGTTTGCTGCAAGTTTTCCATGCAATGTTCGCAAGTTTGCATCCAAGTTTGCTGCAAACTTGCAGTGCAAACTTGCCAAGTGGGTGACATTTTTATATTTATGAAAGTTTGCTGCAAACTTGCAATGCAAACTTGCGAAATTTGCATGGAAAACTTGCAGAAAATGTCTGTGCTTTGTGGGTTGTTACGTTACACTGAGACAAGACCGAGACGTAATAGTTCCCGCTAGACGTCGCTATGAGCTACTCTGCTTGTCGTGTTTGAGTTGTTCCGAATCGGGTGCTGAGACTCTTGGATCATGCTGAGACTCCCCGATCCAGTCAAACATTGTTCTCGCATGTGAGAAAACAACTGGTGGCCATGGGACTGCGGCCTAAGGGTGCGATCCCATGTGAGCAGAATACGTCGACCGAAAGCAGAAAATTATGAGAGTGAAAAGAACAACAATATCTACCTATCTCTTTTCCATTCATGATTTTTTGCTTTCGGTCGACGTATTCTGCTTACATAGGATCGCACCCTAAATGTGAATAAAATTTAAAATAAAATAATGATCTCAGAAAATTAGTACTGGCTATATTTGTTTATACAAGAGGCCATAAAAACAAAACAAGAAGAACATCTCAGAAAATAGATGTAATGTTACATGTGATGTTAGAAATATTGCAATTAATTTTAATTTACACGAGATAGAAAAGAACATCTATGTGTATCTTCCTTTTCTATACCTCATGTGCCAAAGAAATAGGCAACTATTGTTGCACTATAAAATCAAAACTTATTGAAAATTCTTTATCGGAGCATTTGCCCTGTTTGCAGAATATATTCGCGAACACAAAACATAAATTAGAGGACAGACATGAATTTGTGTCTTTTTCTAAGCTTCGATCGTCAACGAGTTCTGCGAACCTGCTTTGCGTTGGCCTTATGCTTTCTGAACCCGTCAACTGCTGCCTCTATCGAATATTTTCTATACTATGATTCTTACAGTCTGTTGGTAATAGGCCGGTTAAGACTGTCGATCAGCCACCACCATCAACAGGTCTCAAGCAGGTCACTGTAACATTACATTGGATATTCGTAATATTACCTGTAATATTACAGTAATCTTACTGGGATATCAAATTTTTCTCTGCATTATAATATTACCATGCAAAGATAATATTAGGTAATACGCAACTTTAGATTCTAGTTTGGATGTTATATTGTATCTAAAATAATATAGTTTTTATTGGAACAGAAAATAAAAGTAATTCTTTGTACATAAGGAGAAAACCATACTTAAAATGTATGCAATGCTGATTTTTGGAAAATGACCTAAATTTAAAATTTATTATACCTTTTAGAAAAACTGTTGTTGGGGGTTAAATAACAGCCAGGGACAAAAATTAACTTTTCTGTATCCCTTTGCCGAAAGTACTGTCTTCCCGGTCTGATTTGGCTCCGGGAATAGCGACTTTTGTGGCCGGCTCGACAGACCCAACGAGCGCTCTGATTGGTTACAAGAATTTCAACACACGTACATGTTAGCATAGCAACCACACAGACACGTTACATACAGAGCTCACGTTTTGAAAACAACTGACAGTCATCAAAATAATGCATGAAATTTCTTATTTTCTTTTATTATTTTTTAATTATTAAATATTTATTTGTAAAAGAAAATTTCTTGTTTACTATTTTTTAAATTTTACTTCCAATTATTTTTTACTTATAATTTTTTTTTCATGCCCGCCCCGACCAGCTAAGTCTCGGCTTCGCCTCGACTTTGCAAAAGTCAGGCGGGCAACTTATTGAGCTATTTTATTATTCAAACAATAATTATTTAACGTACTTTCGGCTGGGGATACAGAAAAATTGTATACGACACACGGCCAGAAATTTGGATACCCTAGCGAGCGTGATATATAAAGCCTCGGCTTCGCCTCGGCTTTATATATCACGCCGGCCAGGAAATCCAACTTTCTGGCCTAGTATCGTAATATACTATTAATAATCGTCGTATTCATTCTGTCCAGTCTGTCCACACCTGAAGTTAGTCATGGTTATTCTTTTGTTTTTTATCCGTTTTGATAGAAAATAGAAATAAAATATAAAATAACGATTTTTTAACAAAATTTATGCTTTTGTTTTTTATATGTTTTGATAGATAATATTACATTTCTTTATTTTGTTTTTATTTTTTTAATTTAATAATATTATTTTTATTTCTCAAATAATTCAAAAATATTTTTATTAATCTAAAAAAATTATTAATATTATTATATTATTCATTATTTCTTTTGATTCTAAAAAATTAGCATTTTGTAACAAACATTTTAGAAAATTAACAAATGTAAATCCTGTAAAATATTTTCTTTTTTTTAATATGAAAAACTTTATTACTTAACAAAATTTTGACTTCTTCTTTGACTCTAAAGAATATTCTGATTCTCTCTAAAAATGATTAGATACTCCAAAAAATGTTCCATTACATTTATTTACGAATTTCTTTAATTCTAAAATTATTTGAAAACATTAATTACTTCTTTTCTAAATAAATTTTAATCATTATTATTTCCCCACAGAAATAAATTATTTTTAATAATTTTTGAAAAAAGTTCTTTGAGAATTTTAAAATCCATTTGTTTACGAAATTCAAATTATTCAGAAATTCTTCAACTAAATACGAATTAAAAAATAAATACTTCAAATAATTTCAGAAAAAAATTCAATTAAACTTTTTAAAAATAATTAATTCTATACAGAATTGTTAGTTATAAGTATGAAAAATACAAATTTTTAAAGAATTTGATTTGGAACCATTTTAAAATTTAATTATTTCTTAAAATTCATGCTATAATGCTTTTAATATTTAATTATTATGTAACTTTAACTGAAATTCATTTTGAAAGAAATTTTTATTAGAGAATTTAATAATTTAAATGCAAAAATAAATAATTTATTGAATAATTAAAATTTCTTAAAATTTAAGTCTGATAAAGAATTTTATCAAAACATTTTTAAATTCATTTTTTTAAGGCACAAATATGAAATTTTATGCAATGTTAGCAAAGCAGTGATATATTTTGTAAATTTCAATTTTTAACGAAATTTTTTAAAATTTTTTAATTATTTTCTGTGATTAAGTAGTTAAGTGATTAAGTACCAGTTTTTATTGTTAATAGGCATTATTATTAATTATCTATTAATACTACGAGAAAGTACATGCGCGCGTTTTTTTAGCTGTCACCTCCCAATGGGAAATTTACAACTGGCGTAGTACTGCGCCAGCACTGGCAGCACTGGCGGCAAGGCTGAGAGCCAGCACTGGCATGGCACTGGGATGATAACACCGTCTGGCGCTGCCGAAGTACTGTCTGTCAGTGCTGCCAGGCAGCGCTGGCGCAGCACTGGATCAGTGCTGGCTGAGAATATTGCCGCAATAAATGCTGTATTGTTATTAATTAGTCGTAAATTAATAATTATAAATAATTTAACAACTAAATGGTAAATAATATTAATAAATATTTATTATTCATAAAATATTTCTCTTCTCAAAGAAATTGTATTAAAGATGGAGACTAACAATGGATATAGTAAATAAAGTAGAAAAAAATTGTTTATAACATCTAAAAATTAAATAATAAACAATTACAGTAAGTGTGCATTAGATTTTCATATTTTAGTACCTAACGATTGGAATCTAGAAATATCACAAACCTATGAAAATAAACAAAATTGCTGACGAGGGGAATCGAACCGACGACCTACGGACTAACAGACTAACGCTCTAACCACTATGCTAACGACACGTGTGTACAGTAAAGTATTAATATCTTAGTATCATTCAGACATACAATTATTGAGTCAAAGATGAGAAAAAAATAGGGATACGTTAGAAA